TTGGTCTTCCAATAGACAGGAGGAGCGAAGGGGCAGAGATGTTTGGAGACGGCCAAAGGCGACCTTGCCGTTTCCGGGGCCCACTGAACTCCAGGAAGGACTTCGCCCTGATACAGGCTCAGCAGAGCATTGGAACAGTAGTGTGCACAAGACGCTCGGCATTCGTCGTTCGTATCTGGGGAAGCATGTCACATCCGGGCCGCACTCATCGGGCCAACAGCCGTCGCGCAGAGTCCGTGCGGAACCACCTGCCCTTTCGGGAAGAGCTGGCGTCGCCCTCGAGGCCTCGAGAGGTTGGCAGCTCGCCCTTGACAGTGTCCGGCCGAACTAGCTGGCGGAAGGATCGGTGGGAGCAAAGCGAGGACGGTTCCGGCACGGGAGGGCCCGCGGTCTTCTGGCCCCTCTCCTCTCCGCCTCTCTCTCGCCTCGCCGTCGTCGCCGCCGCGGGGATCGTTCCTTTCCTGCTCTGGCGCGTGGCGGTCGTTACCCTCCCCCCCCCTCCCCCCCTCCCCGCGTGCACCGCTTAAAATACAAGGATTTAGTATTAAAGACAACAAGGAGTTCGTGCACAAATTCATGCATCAGTAAATCATGTATTCGAAATCCGATATTTTTACAATCCCATGTCTAAAAAACTGCCCTGTACGTGGGTGGGGGGCCTGGACGCCCCCCCCCGATGCTGGCGCCCGAAGGCATGCCGTGCTGCTCGCGGGGCGCTCCGCAGGCGCCCCGCGGGGTGCTCCGCGGGCGCGCCCTGCCGGGGGTGCTCCTCGGGCTCTCTGCGCGGTGGGTGGCAGCGCGGGCGCCTGCTCTTTTGCTTGCCGGCGCCTCGCGGAAGCGGGGGGGAAGACAGAAGCACAGAAAATATTGGGAAAATATGGGGAATCTTTTTACTTGTGTGTATTTCTTTGCGCGTCCTGGGGCCCCTTCAAGTTCGCGCGCACGCTGCCGCGATCGCAGCGCCCCCCTCCGCCCCGACGTGCCCCACCGCGCCCGAGCGCTGCCGTTGCCTGGGGCCCCAGCCCTCCCCCCCGGGCAACAACCGCTGCGCTGAGATAACGTGAAGATCTCGCGAGCCTCCTCCTCCTCCTCCGCCTCCTCCGCCTCCGCCTCCTCCTCCTCCTCCGCCTCCTCCGCCTCCTCTTTGTTTAGTTTAGGCCGCATGGCCTCGCACTGTCTTTCTCGCTCGTGGCTGTTCCAGCTGTTCTGCGTGTCCCGTTGCACGGCCTTTGGCTCGGAGCAAGGAGCCGCAGGGGTGGTGGCTCTGTCGGTGGCCGAGACCTTGGGAACTCAGCGGGCCCTCTGGGGATCACCGGGGGTGCAACAAAAAACGAAAAGGATCTCGCGAGCCTCGTTGTCCTGTCATCCGTCGTCGTCGGCGTCGTCGTCGTCGTCGTCGTCGTCGTCGTCGTTCGCTTCTCATTGTTTCGCATCGCTTCGCCCTCTTTGCGCGCGACGGGGCTGGAGGCTGGCCAGTACGCAGTCGGCCTCACGGACGGCGTGATCAAGATAGGAGCCTCGGGGAGCAGTTGCGCGAGCACGCCAGAGGAGAGAGGATGAGGAGGGCTCATTCGAGGTGGGATACTTTGGAGCGATTGCACGAGCGCGCTGAAAGACATTTTGGATGTGGAAGATGCGAGCTTGCTCGAGCTGGAGTTTGTTCGATGATGAGGAGGGAAGGTTTGGCGGGTGATGGAGAGGAGAAGGATAGCGAGGTGAGAGGGCAGGAACAGTAGTAAGGTCGGGAATTTTCGGTTAGCGTGTCGCTCCCCTGGCTCGGGAGGGGAGGAGGAGAGGGAGGAGAGGGAGGAGAGGGAGGAGAGGGAGGAGAGGGAGGAGAGGGAGGAGTGAGGGAGGATGAAGGAGGAGGGAGGGAGGGAGGGAGGGAGGGAGGTGGGATGAGGGAGGAGAGAGGAGGACGAGGCAGGGGCGGATGGAGGAGGGAGGGAAGATGGAGGAGGAGGATGGAGGGGGGAGGAGGGAAGAGGGAGGAGGGAGGAGGGGGGGAAGCAGGAGAAGGAGGGAGGAGGGAGGAGGGTTGAGGGAGGAGGGAGGAGAGGGCAGAGGAGGAGGAGAAGGAGAAGGAGAAGGAGGAGGAGGAGGGAGGAGGAGGAGGAGGAGGAGGAGGAGGAGGAGGAGGAGGAGGAGAGGAGGAGGATGGGGAGAAGGAGGAGGGGGAGGAAGAGGACGAGGAAGACAAGGAGGACGAGGAGGACGAGGAGGACAAGTTGGACGAGGAGACCGAGAAGGAGGATGAGGAGGAGGAAGAGGAGGACGCGGAGGAGGAGAAGGAGGATGAGGAGGAGGAGATGGAGGGGAGGGAGGAGTTGGAGGAGGAGGAGGAGGAGGAGGAGGAGGAGGAGGTGGAGGAGGAGGCGTGAGGAGTGAGGAGTAAGGAGTGAGGAGGATGGTTGAGGATACATCATCGGAGAAAGGCCAGCCCAGGCAGCCGCCGCCCTCACTGGCGCTATTTTCTTGGCATCGCTCGGACGTGAGCATTCTTCCTCGGCAAGGACCATCGAGGAGCATTCTGGGCCACCTCGCGTCAAACATGCGCGCACGAAGCCGAAACCATGCAGGGAGATGGGGGTCCGGACGATGGCGAGCCTTTCGGCCCCCAGGAGGCTTCTCGTCGCCGCGGCTGGTTCAGCCCCGACGCAGCGGGTCAGGACGGGACCCGCAGGAGGGCTCCAGGGGCCACTCTCGTGTCTGGCCCGGGGCCTGGCGTCTCCGCTGGCCCCTCCGAGGGCGGCGGCGGAGCTGCCGCGCGGCGCCGAGGCGACCTGGAGGTGGGCAAGCTCGTCGACAAGGTGCGCGCGCACAGGCCGCGGCCAAGGGACCTCAACAAGGCTCCTCGCGGCCTCGCCGCCCGCCCTCTCGGTGCTCGCCGCCCTCGGAGCCGCGCCCAAGCCCCACCCCCCGCTGGATGTGTGCCTCCCTCGTCGGCGGCAGGCCCCGAGCGCCGGCGTGTCGGGAAGCCCAGCCCACGCCAGGCCCCTCGCTGCGAGGAAGGGCGGGAGGGGGAGGGGGAGGAGGAGGGGGGGGAGGAGGAGGAGGAGGAGGAGGAGGAGGAGGAGGAGGAGGAGGAGGAGGAGGAGGAGGAGGAGGAGGAGGAGGAGGAGGAGGAGGAGGAGGAGGAGGAGGAGGAGGAGGAGGAGGAGGAGGAGGAGGAGGAGGAAGACGAGGAGGAGGAGGAGGCAGATGCGGATGCGGGCGCGGATGCGGATGCCGGTGCGGATGAAGTCGATGATGATGGTGTGATGCTGATGGTGATGATGGTGATGATGGTGATGGTGATGGTGATGGTGACGGTGACGGTGATGAGGATGACGATGGTGATGGTAATGGTGACGGTAATGACGATGACGATAACGGTGACGATTACGACGACGATGGTGATGGTGGTGATGATGATGGTGATGTTGCTGCTGATGATGATGGTGATGATGATAGTGATGATGGTGATGATGGTGGAAATGCTGTTGTTGACGATGATGATGCTGATGCTGATGATGCTGATGTTGATGATAATGCTGATGATGAGGATGAGGATGAGGACGACGATGATGATGATGATGATGATGATGATGATGATGATGATGATGATGGTAATGCTGATCGTGATGGTGATCGTGATGGTCATGGGATTTGTGATGATGATGCTGATGCTGATGATGCTGACTGTGGTGGTGGTGGTGGTGTTCATAATGATGCCGATGATGGTGATAGTGGTGATGATTATGACAATGAGGATGTTGCCGCTGTTGCTGCTGATACTGATGGTGACGATGGTGATGGTGGGGGGACAGTTGAAGATTCTGATGCTGCAAACGATGGAGCAATTATGCTGCTGACGAAGCTGCTGCTGCTGATGATGATGAGGATGGTGGTGATAATGCTGATAATTACAGTGGTGGTGGTGGTGGTGATGTTGCTGGTTCCGCTGATGCTGACGATGATAAGGATGATGCTTATGCTGCTGACATTGGTGGTGTTGGTGATGATGACGATGCCAAGGATAGTGATGACGCTATCGCTGTTGCGTATGCTGCTATGGTCGCTGTGGTTGCTGTTGTGGTTGTTTGTGTGCTGGTATTGATGTTGTTGCCGATGCTGCTACTGTTGTTGCTGCTGCTGTTGTTGTTATTGGTGTGAGTGTAGTTGTTGGTGTTGTGGTTGTTGTTTTTGGTTGCTGGTATGAGAAAGTGTTGTTGTAGTTGCGGGTGCTTCTGCTGCTGTTGAAATTTCCTGGAAATAATTCGTGTTGGTCCCCCCTCACCACTGTACATCGTTTGTTTTAACCCAGTGCTCCCTCGGGTTTCATACCTTGTTCTTTATCAGATACCGCTTCCTGCTCAGACTGCGTTGTTGGGCCTCGAACTACAGCAACAACGGTTCGCCTGATACATCCTCACAATGTAGTCCAACATCGAACTCTCGCGCAGGACTTCCTCACGATTCACTTGGGGATCGCGCTATCGCTCGAGATTGCCTCGCGATTCATGCAGGACTCACGCGTCAGCAACCCGCCTTGTCGACTTGGCCGACTGGGCCCGCCGTCCCGACCCGCTTGCTAGGGTCTGCCCGCCCGATCTGCCCGTCTGGTTCTGCCACGTGTTTTCTGCTCCTAGCCCCCTTCCTGCTAATTTCTCTCGAGCTCCACCGTTCTCCCTCCCCCTTCCATCCGTCCATTCTTCCCCTGTTTTTAAAGGCTGCGATTAATGCGCGTGGCAGGTAAGGAAGCTATACACCCATGGAGGCACGGTCGAACACGAAGTGGGCGGGTACCGAGGGTTTGGGGCATACTTGTTGAATGGCACGCGAGCAGCTCGTACATAACAATATTAAAGCTGTTGTTGAACGTCAGGTTCAGGATAATGATAGTGACGGCGATGGTGGTGGTAATGGCGAAAAGGAGGAGCGGGATCAGGAGGATAAGGACTCCAGCGGCAACCAGCGTGACAACCACTTCTACATCGTGGGTGAACAACCACGTGGTGCTACGTGTGCCTCGGCGCCTGCCAGCCCTCATGGGCCTCGACGGTGGTCGGCTTTGGGGACCGAGGAACTTCAGCTGACATGGGTCGGATGGGACGACGCGAGGCCAACCCCCACAGCTCCCCATCCTAGACCGATCGACCTTCACAGCGGCAACGGCTCCCTCCTTTACAAACGCTCTCTTTCCAATCTCCGGCTTTCTCTTTCAACTCACTTTGTACGGTAGGAGCGCCAGCGTGCCCTACGTGAATGAGTATTCCACCGCCCCTCCAACCTTCCCCTCCCAACCAGCTCACCCTCTCACCCTTTAGCCTTTGCCCTAGGCCTGCCCGTTTCCCACCCCGCTAACCTTCACCTTCCCGAACTCTTGCGGGTGGCCGGGTTGGGGGGTTTACGCGGGGGAGAGAGGATACGAAAAAAGCCCGTCGGCACTGGCCGCCCCTGGCGTTGGCCAGGGATGGCCTTCGACCACTCGGGTGCTGCCGCCTGCCACCTCCTCCACCTCTACTGACTCTAGCCGCCCGCCTGCGTACCACTGGCCGACGCCAGGGAAAGCAACGAACCTGGAGGAGAGGGAGGAGGAGGAGGAGGAGGAGGCGGAGGAGGAGGAGGAGGAGGAGGAGGAGGAGGCGGAGGCGGAGGCGGAGGCGGAGGATGATGAGGAGGAGGAGGATGAGGAGGAGCAGGAGGGAGGATGGAGGAAGACGAGCCGGAGGAGGAAGGAGGATAAGAAGGAAAAAATGCCAACGCGCCGTCGTTTTTTCAGAATCCGAGTCTTTTTTCATCGTCGTCGCCCCCTTGCAAATCCCCTCCTCCGCCTTCCCCTGGTTTTCCTTTCCCTCCCGGTCCGTCCGCTTTAGTTGCTGATGCTGATGTTCATCCTCATTCTTTTCCTCCCGCTCAGCCTCCTGCTCACCCACCACCTCTTGCTCCTGTGCATGCAGCTCCCCTTTTTTTCCGATTGCGCACAACACGAAGTGGTCTTTCTGTGGGAGTCGCAGGTCGGCTATGACACGCGTCCGCGGATAGAGAACAATCAGCATCATGGGAAAAGATGAGAGGGATGAATCGGGTGTGTGACGATGCGCGAGCGCACCTAGCTTGACCTCCCCCCCCTCTCTCCGCCCCTCCCCCCTTCCTTGCCCCCTGGCTACGCGCCTCTGCCCCTTGCCCCTCCCGCGCCCCTGCACCTCTTCACCTCCCCCGCGCCCCCGCCCTCGAGCTCGTCCCCGCGAGCGCCCCTGGAGCCCGCCTCCGCCCCGCCCCCCCCCCCCCCCCCCGCGCCCCACTCCCTCTTCTCGCCCGTGGCTTCGCTCTCGCCTCTGCCTGCAGCCCGCCCTGTCCCCCCCCCCCCCCCCCCCCCCCCGCGCTCCACGACCCTCCCTTTGCCGGTCGCCCGCGCTCGGCGGGGCGGCCCAGAGCGGCGAGGCCGACATCCAGGGCATCAAGGCCGACTGGGACCTGAAGCAGATCGTGTCCTGCGCATGGGACAGGCCAGGCCTGGGGAAGTGCACAGAGCGCACTCGAGCTTGTCGTCGACGTCGTACTTGCTGGTGCGACAGGCATCCAGAATAGGAAGGGGATGATGATGATGCTGATGATGATGATGATGACGATGATGATGATGATGATGATGATGATGATGATGATGATGATGATGATGATGATGATGAGGATGATGGTGATGATGATGATGATGATGATGATGAGGATGATGCTGATTATAATGATGATGGTGATGATGCTGATGATGGTGATGATGATGATGATGGCGATGATGGCGATGCTGATGATGCTGATGATGGCGATGCTGATGATGATGGTGATGAGGATGAGCTGCTGATGATGATGATGATGCTGCTGATGATGATGCTGATGATGATGATGAGGCGGAGGAGGTTGTTTTTTTGGAGTTTCTGTGGGGTCGAAGCACTTCAAAGCCAAGGAACGAGCCCAGCTGGATGTAGGCAACGCGCTACTGCGCACCTCCATATGATTCCTCATCACAGCGCGGAGAATGGGGGCCTCAGCGGTGATTAAGTATCCAGCACCTGCCGAGCACCGCCCTGATATCCCCAGCAGTTGGCACCTCCCTCTGATGCGACGTTTTGCCCAGCAGCCAGGGTTTTCTGTCCATCGGGTAGATCAGTGTATGTTCGGGCCGAGTGCCAAAATGCTTACTTCTCTCATGGCCATTCGTGCTCCCATGACGGGGCAGTTGCTGCGTGAGGTCCCTCATCACGGGAAGTACCAGCACCGTGCCCGTCTTCAATTGTTAGCAGGCCGTGGCACATCGGGGGCTTTGGAATACCGCGGTGGCGAAGACCATATATCCCTCGGAGTTTTGCTGTTTGCTGGGACAGAGTTAGTTCGTTGTTTGTCAGGGCCAAGCTGGTGTCGATCCAGGACCGCCACCCCTTGTATGATCTGAAGATGTGTTACCTTCCGTTGTGCCCTTGGACCCTTACTACAGTTTCCAGCGTCGACGGGGTTTTGCTCGGATGGTGCCACGCTCTCCTCCCGGACAAGCCTTGCAGTGCGCGCGGCACCTCTCGCAGTACCTTCGGGACAAGGTTTGGCTTGACTGCTTTTTTGCAATGGTATGGTGAGCGCGGCACCTGAACTCTCGCTGAAAAGCGTGGTCGATCCAATCTTTTTGGCGCCAGTGTGTGCGCGGCACTTTCACTCGCTGTGTTTGGGTGAAGGTCTACTGTTCGTGTCCTCGACGGAGGTTTCAGTGCTCTGGAGAAGGATGGCCAGCCAGCACCGCGCGTTGAGCCTCGTGCTGGTGCGTTCCCTCCTCCAATTCCGGCTCACTAAGCATGAACATGTGGAACAGTTGCCAACCGACTCCTGCACAGGAATAGGCCTTCAGACGGCCTCACTCACTGGTATAGATCGAGCTGCGCATGGGATGTACTATCGTTTCACCATGAGCTTGGCATCGCTGGGACGTGTGCATTTTTCTTTTGGCGAGGACCATCGAGGAGTATCCTTGATCATTTGGCGAAAAAACCACGCACGGCACCGAAAAAACACAGGGAATGGACGTCCGCGCGATGGCGAGTGAGAGGCTTGCCTGCTGCCGGGATCGCTGCCTCATCGCATTCTCCCTTCTACTGCTCTGTGCCGTTTTTCGGATCGGGGGTCAGACTCGTCCCTCCGTGACCGACCGACTGACTAACCGACCGATTTGGGAGGACAGGCGGAGGAGGAGGAGGAGGAGGAGGAGGAGCAGGATGGGGAGGAGGATGGCGAGGGTGGTTCTCCCATCCGGTCGATCGACCCCGAGCACAAGAACGACACGAGCACCAGCACGGTGGGTAACAATAACAACGTTTTTCCCGACTGACGTTGTCGCTGCTCACGTTCGTGGCAGGGACCTGGAGCTCTTTGCAGCAGGGTTCATTGCAGTAGAACTTTTGCTGCTAACCACTGCGACACGTAGTGCTTTGAGGATGATGATGATGATGGTGATGATGGTGATTGTTATGATGCCGATGATGCTGCTGTGGTGCTGCTGCCGATGATGATAATGATACTCATCATGATGATGATACTGATGGTGATGCTGATGATGGTGAAGGTGATGATGACAAGCCATCATCATGATGGGCATGCTGATGCTGTTGATGGTGATGATGATGGAGGAGATGCGGAGGTTGAGGCGGAGGCGCACACATTTTCTGTTTACGATTGCTCTGATCATGATGGTTTGAAATTTGTTACGACGATGTTGTTGATGATGTCGAGTGTATGAAGATGATCGTATTGAATCTTGCGATCATAATGGTGATGACAATTTTGATGCTGCTGATGGTGACGATGATCATGGGAATGATACTATTGATGCAAATGATTGTGATGATGCTGATTCGGATGATGCTGATTATGTTGATGATGATGACGGTGGATGGTGATGACGATGCTGACGATGATGCTGCTGATGCTGATGATGCTTATGATGAGACGGTGGTGGTGATGATGAGGATACTGATGAGACTGATCATGATGATAAGCTTGACGATGCTGCCAGTGATGACGATGTTGCTGCTGCTGATGATGATTATGATGATGCTGCTGATGATGATGCTGGTGATGATGATGACGATGATGATAATGATGATGATGCTGATGATGATGCTGATGATGATGATGATGATGCTGATGCTGCTGCTGCTGCTGCTGCTGCTGATGATGATGATGATGATGATGATGATGATGATGATGATGATGATAATGGTGATCTTGATGACGACGTCGACGATGACCACGATGACGGCGACTATGGTGGCGGTGTTAGCAAAAAGGGGGAGGATGATTACTTAGCTTACTTAATTCGCTGTAGGCTTTAAGGGTACCTGAATCCATATTTGAGGATTCAGCGGCTGTCGAATAAATACTGGTGCCTGCGAACTTGCAATAACATCCGAATCCAGTATTTGGCTATGTGCAGGACCCATCCTTAGAGTCGGAGGCATGGCAGGAAGTTATCCACCAGTGGCCGGCGCTAGGGGAAAAGTAGCAATAGTCGCCTTATGCTTGCCTGCGGTCGTGAGGGAGCCGGTCCCGGTTATCCTTGTGATAGGCTTCGACCGTACCTCGGGAAGTATATTTTTAGGCGCCTCCTTGGGTACATCATGGGGTACTTCTTAAGGTTCATCCTTGGGTATAGTATTGGGTACCTCCTTGGGTACCTCCTCGGGTACCTCCTCGATGGGTGCCTATTTGGGTACCTCCTCGGATAGCTCCTCGGGTGCCTCCTTGGAAGCCTCCTTGGGTACTTCCTTGGGTGCTTCCTTGGGTACTCCTGGGGGCTTCCGCCTCCCTCCTGTCCTCCTCCCCGGACACCTCCAGGGTTCGAGGGTCGAGGGTCGAGGGTCGAGGGTCGAGGGTCGAGGGTCGAGGGTCGAGGGTCGAGGGTCGAGGGTCGAGGATCGAGGGTCGAGGGTCGAGGGTCGAGGGTCGAGGATCGAGGGTCGAGGGTCGAGGGTCGAGGATCGAGGGTCGAGGGTCGAGGCCTGCCGCCCCGGGTCCGCCGACCCGCGCGCGCTTCCCCCCACACGGTCGTCTGCCGGAGACCTCCAGACGAGAGAGAGAGGGATCGAGGCTCGAGGGTCGCGGCGCCCGAGGTTCGAGGATCGAGGTTCGAGGTTCGAGGATCGAGATTCGAGGATCGAGGTTCGAGGGTCGAGGATCGAGAGTCGGGGATGGAGAAGGATCGAGGTTCGAGGGGGGAGGATCGAGAGGAGGACGAGGGAACAGGGAATGGAGGGCGGATCGTGGGGAGTCTGGGGGCGGCTCGGAGCGCCGCGAGAGGGGGTGGTGCAATAGATTTGGGGCAATTGTGTTGCAAATGTACTGCGCCGGAGATTTGGATTGCAGTGTATTGCGACGAATGCATTGCACGCGAAAGTCCAGCAATACATCTGCGACCCGGAATTTCTTGCATGCCCCCGATGTATTGCAACCCACAAATATATTGCACCAAATCTATTGCATTACCCCCTTGTCGCTGGACCCCCTTCTGGGTCAACCGAATCAGGGTTCGATGGGGGAGGATAGAGAGGAGGACGAAGGAACAGGGGATGGAGGGGCGGGTCATGGGGAAGTGGGGGCGGCTCGGGGCGGGAAGAGGGCGGGGGGGAAGGAATCGAAGCGGCGAGAGGCGCGCGCGGGGGCGGCGCAAGAGGGAGCGCCGCGCAGGGAGAGGGGTAGTCCGAATGCACTCTGCCGATCAGCCCTGGGGCCGGGGGGGATGGGGGGGGCGCAGTGCGAACTAATCGGGGCTGCCGGATGCCCTCCCTTGTCGGCCACGAGACTGGGAGAAGGCGGCGTCGCAGCGCCGCTCCCATTCCAGAGCGAGGGGAGGATCACTGACCGAACAGCCAGAGCTGCGAGCGGGCCGCCTTTGCATAGTCCCTGGATGCAAGCAAGGATTGACAAAGGGGGACGCCCGTTTCCTGGGGAAGCCCCAGCTCGCAGCCTTTTTTATGGCGGCGTACTAGCGTGTGCGAATTCTGGCCACAAGAGAGGCCAAGCAGGAATCGCGCACTACATTGGGTATTGCCACCACGCATGCGACGGTAGCCCTCGGGGGGCAGCGCGGAGGGGTGGGAAAGGAAAGGGGTGGGGCCAGCGGAACAGGGGAGGTGAAGTGGGCGAAGGGCAGGAGCCGGGGTGAGGCTGCGGAGCGGGCGAGCAGGGCGGGCAGGGCAGAGGGGGTTGGGGTGCTTGGATTAGGGGCAGCACGTAAAAAGGGACGAATTGGCGCATGCCGCGCCGTCCCTGCATGGAGTACCTGACAACCCAGGGAGGGCGTCTACTTGACAGCCCAGAGGAGGGCGCCTACTTGACAACCCGCTGGCATTCTCGATATACGTCTAGCGGGATGTACATTGGATGTTTGAGGGTGTCCTAAGGCACGTCTTTCCAGCTTCTGACCCCTCAGGGCTGGCTCTGTGGCCCCGCGGGTCAGTGTTTTTTTTTTGGGGGGGGGATAAAACCAGGAGCGAGTGTTGGCAAGCAAGGGGAACCCAGGCGGCGAGAGGCGTGCGCGGGGGCGGCGCACAAAATGGAACACCGCGGAGGGAAAAAGGGGCAGTCCGAGCGCCCTCCGCCGATCAGCCCTTTGGGCCGGGGGGGACGGGGGTGCGGGGCGCGCCGCCCCTTTCACACGTTCGAGCGGGCGGGCTACTCAGGGCTCTCAGAGGCCCTCCCCTTGTTTGTCGGCCAGGAGACCGGGAGACGGCGGCGTCGCAGAGTCGCTCCCATGCCAGAGCGGAGGGGAGGAATCGGGAGAGGGGGCAGGGAGGGGGGCGGGCATGCTGCGGGTGGGGGGTGCGAGGGAGGTGGGGCAGCAGGTGTGAAGAATGCAGCCCTCTTGCGGCCAAGGGGGAGCAAGCCTACCGACCACCCTGACCTGCGGGGCAGCGCCCCTGATCCAGGCGCCTCGGCGTCGCGCCTCCTCGACAAAGTAGGGGCCCTCGGGGGCCTTGGGCGGGGAGCCCCGACTGGGGGGGTCTCTTTAGGGCCGAGAGGGAACAGGCCCAAACGACCCCCACTGACCTGTAAGGTAGCACTCCTGGTCCAGGCGCCTCCGCGGCGCGCCTGTTCAACAAAAGGGGGGCCCTCGGAGGCCTGGGCCTGGGGCGGGGAGCCCCTACTGAGGGGTCTCTCAGGGCCGAGGGGGAACAAGCCCTAACGACCCCCCCCCTGACCTGTGGGGCAGCGCCCTGGTCTTGGCGCCTCCGCGGCGCACCTCTGCACCCGGGGAGGGCCCCTCGCAGGCCCGGGGCGGGAAGCCCCGACTGGGTGGGTCTCTCGGCCCCAACGACCCCCCTGACCTGCGGGGCAGCGCCCCGGGTCTGGGCGCCCTCGGCGGCGCACCACGGGGTGGTGATCCCACGGATGAGGGGTCTCTCAGGGCCAGAGGAAGACAGCCTCAACGACCCCCCTGACCAGGGGAGCAATGCCCCCTGGTCTGGGCAATGGGGTCCAACTCCCCCTGCCCCTTTCCAGCGTGGTAGATCCTGGAAGGCGACAGTTTTTTTTTTTTTTTTTTTGTTTTTTTTTTTTTTGCGGAGCCGTTTGTAACTGGTGGTGGGGTGGCCAGTACACGCACGATGGGGGTAGGATCGTGCCTGGACCCTACCACCCTATAATACCCTCCCACCCGACCCTTCGTGCATAGGGACTCCGGCAAGGTGGTTCCTCGGGAGGGACAAGGGGGAGGAGGAGCAGGAGGAGGAGCAGGGGGAGGAGGAGGAGCAGGAGCAGGAGCACGAGGAGGAAGAGGAGGACTAGAGTCAACCGAGGATTCATCAACGATGCTGCTGTGCACCCCCCTTCGGAATGTTCCTTCCCATGAGTCCGTATGTGCCCTCCTCTCCACTATAACCCTTGAAAGCCCAGCGCCCTATCGGCCTGCCGGCCGTTCAGACGAGAGCCGTGCTTTGTAAATTAATTGCTTCTAGCAGGTTGCAGTCTGATATTACTGTTCAACTGGGTGTCCGGTGATACCCCCGTTTTCACAAGAGGGCGGCATCTCCCGTGTAACTGCCGCAACAGTTTTTAGTTTTGGTCATGCATGTCGAGAGGGTCTCAAGTTAGAGCTTGAAAAGAAAAGAAACCGTCTCCCATCTTAGTACTTGTGGCAAACTTTTAGAGGAGTGTGCGAGGCGCTTGGGCAGGCGCCCCATTCTGAAAAGGAACCGCAATCCACCCTTGTGACTGCTCGCACTCTTTCAAGGCGCGGCGCTAAAGCGAGAGCCCCATCTTGAACATGCTTCCCCCTTCATCTTTGCAGCTGTTTCAGATGGTCGGTTATAGAGTTCAATGTGGAGATGAAGTCTCAGGCGAAACACCCGGCCCGCCCTACCGACACGCCTTGGGCTGCGACGGCGTAGGTATAATGAAAAAGGATTGAGGAGGAGGAAGAAGAGGAGGAGGAGAAGGAGGAGGAAAAGGAGGAGGAGTAGCAGGAGGAGTAGGAAGAGGAGGAGGAAGAGGAGGAGGAAGAGGAGGAGGAGGAGGAGGAGGAGGAGGAGGAGAAGGAGGAGGAGGAGGAGCAGGCGCAACAAAGCCGAGGGTCACCCTGCTGGCTCCCTCCAGTTGCTCTGCGAGTGCTGCGAGGAGGATGTCCTAGGCAAAAGCACCTCCGATGTTCGTTCCACGTGCCGGAGGCTAAGTTTTGCTGCCGCCCTGGATCCTGACCCCCAGAGGTCCCCGGAGGTCCTCAGAGATCCACGGAGGTCCTCCCGAGGCCCCACTGGAGGCTGCGGGGAGCCTCCAGAATGGTGCCCAAACGTTGGAGAACCCCCCATACAAACGCCCCTACATGCTTCCTCCTTGATCTTCGGGGGTCGAGGGCAGAACTTTTCTGCAACCGCTTGCGAGCCCTACCCCTACGGGTCCAGTCGACGCTGGGGGGGGTATAGGAATCCCCCGCTGGGGACACATGTCTGCAGACATCCTTCAAATTCTGAACCCCATCCTTTTTTCTCAGAAATCTGATCGGCAGGGGTAGGGTTCGCGTGTGGCTGCCTATCTTTGCAGCGGCAGGTGCGTCAGCATCTGCGACACCCGCAGCAACAAGTGGGTGAGGTCGCTCAGCCTCAAGGGCCACGGCGACACCGTGGAGCAGGCCGAGCGCAGGGGAGCAGGAGGAGGCGGGGGCGGGGGTGAAGAGGGGGGGGAGGTTGCTGGGGACGGGCCGAAAGCCAGGTGATGCAGGATCGAAACCGAGCGCCCACGGAAGTTCGGCGGGGCGGGGCCCCCCTGACTGGAAGACAGGTTTGGGACCCCCGAGAGCGCTGCCCATCCCTCGTCCCATCTCTGCCGCTGGCTGGAGACGGGGATGGGCCGCTTGGGCCAAGCGGCTTGGCCCCGGGGCGGTTGCACGGCGCGCAGGCCGAGAACGAGTCGCGCTTGCCTGGGCCCTCGATGAGCTCCTGGAGCACGGAAGCCGCCTGCCGCACAAAACGTCCAACAGCGACACAACCACAGGGTATGGAATACTTTGGCCTGGATCTGATATGCGACGTTCGAGTGATGCCGGCGCCCCCGCGCCACTGCCCAGCCCCGCGTGGTGCCGAGGAGGAGGAGGAGGAAGAGAAGGAGGAGGAGGAGGAGGAGGAGGAGGAAGAGGAGGAGGAGGAGGAGGAGGAGGAGGAGGAGGAGGAGGAGGAGGAGGATGAGGAGGTCCCCTTGGGACGACATAGGCGCAGCCTCAGCCTCAGCCTTGGCTTGCCTGGCCCTGGCCGTCAGCTCAGCCTTGCCCTGGCACCCACGCTGCAAGGCTCGCTCCGGCTCGGCTGCGCGCGGCCTCTCCGCCACGAGCTCGCTCTCGCCGTCGGCCAGCTGCTGCCCGAGCTCGTCGCTGAGCTCCGCCGCCGCCGCGGGAGCCTCCTTCGCCACTTTCTCGGTGCCATCCTTGTCCCTCTCGCCGAACTTGTTCTGCAGCTTCGCCTCCTGCAGAGAGTGGCGCATGGTGAAGCACGGGTGCACGACGCCGTGCTTCGCGTGAAAGGCGCCCTCGTGGAAGTCCGAGCCGTAGCCCTTGAGGAGGAAGGGGTTGACGATGTCCTCACGCTCATGATGCTTGCCCTTCGAGCTCGCAACCACATTGAGCTTGGGTGTATCCAGCCAGTCCAGGGTCAACTGTCTAGACTTACCGTCCACGAACTGGCCCCTCAGCTTCTCATCCTGCAGGATGCCACGGATGATGATGCAGTAACTAGCAAGTCCTCACTTCTCCTCCTCGATATCGTCCTTGCTGGAGTCGTGTCCGAAGGCCTTGGGGAGAGACGAGTTGACGGCGTCCTCCAGCTCCTTGTTCTTGCCCTTGTAGCCTGCGACGTCCGAACCCGTGGACGATTCCAGCCAGGTCAGGGTGTGCTGCACCGCCTTCTCGGTCTTCTCCCTGCTTCCGAAAGTGAACTTGTTCAGCAGCTTCTCACCCTGCATGGTGCTGCGGATGGTGAAGCAATAGTTCATGAGGCCGTACTTCGCAGTGAAGGCGTCTTCGAATTCAACCTTCTTCAACTTCACGCCATCGCCACCAACGGTCTCGCACTGGAAGCCGTCCGCATCGCCGGCGTCCGTGGAGCACTCTACCTGCATCTCTGCTGGCACCTCAGCGTGCTGTTCGAGCCGGCTCCTGACTTCAGCAAGGCCCCCCGGCGCCCGCCCGAGGGCGCCGGACGAGGGCCGAGGCGGCGTCGGAAGTCCGCCAGTTCCGCTCCACCTGGGGCGGGAGCCGGCGACCGCCCGCTCGGAGCTGCGCCGACCTCTCGGCCAGGGCGTCGCCGCCCAGGAGCGCCACGAGCTCCGCGGCACCACTGCGCAGCAGCTCTGCTCCGCGGCCGAGCGCAAGCCTCGCCTCGGCCCCCTCGCCGCGCGCCGGGCCCGGGGCCTCGGTGCGCACTGCCCTTCGCCCGAGCGTCCGTCGTCGCTCGCCGGCGCCACGGGGGGGCCTCGGCCGAGCCCTTCGCCCCCCGCGACGGCATTTTAAGGCACCGCCTGAGCTTGGCCGCCTCCTCCACGCTGGGGTCCGCGGCCACGGCCATGCCGTGCCTGACGACAGCACCGCCTCGTCCGCCGCGAGCCACGGCAGGCCAGAGCGGGTGTAAGAGAGCCCGCCCGAGAGGGGCGAGCCGCTCGAGCCCAGATGGCTACGGTGGGAGGGAGGGGGAGGAGGAGGAGGAGGAGGAGGAGGAGGAGGAGGAGGAGGAGGAGGAGGAGGAGGAGGAGGAGGAGGAGGAGGAGGAGAGAGGAGGAGGAGGAGGAGGAGGAGGAGGAGAGGAGGAGGAGGAGGAGGAGGAGAGGAGGAGGAGGAGTAGAGGAGGAGGAGGAGGAGAGGAGGAGGAGGAGGAGGAGGGGAGGAGGAGGAGGAGGAAGGAGGAGGAGGAGGAAGGAGGAGGAGGAGGAGGAGGAGGAGGAGGAGGAGGAGGCGGCGGAGGAGGAGGAGGAGGATGAGGAGGAGGAGGAGGAGGCGGAGGAGGAGGAGGAGGAGAGGAGGAGGAGGAGGAGGAGGAGGAGGAGGAGGAGGAGAGAGGAGGAGGAGGAGGAGGAAGGAGTAGGAGGAGGAGGAGGAGTGGAGGAGGAGGAGGCGGAGGAGGAGGAGGAGGAGGATGAGGAGGAGGTAGGAGGAGGAGGAGGAGAGGAGGAGGAGGAGGAGGAGGAGGAGAGGAGGAGGAGGAAGGAGAGGAGAGAGAGAGGATGAGGGGAGGAGGGGAGGAGGAAGGAGGAGGAGGAGGAGGATGAGGAGGAGGGGGGGGGAGGAGGAGAGGAGGAGGAGGAGGATGAGAGAGAGGAGGAAGAGGAGGAGGAGGGGAGGAGGAGGAGGAGGAGGGGAGGAGGAGGGGGAGGAGGAGAGGAGGAGGAGGAGGAGGAGGAGGAGGAGGAGGAGGAGGAGAGGAGGGGAGGAGGGGGAGGAGGAGGAGGAGGAGGAGGAGGAGGAGGAGGAGGAGGAGGAGAGGAGGAGGAGGAGGAGGAGGAGGAGGAGGAGGAGGAGAGGAGGAGGAGGAGGAGGCGGAGGAGGCGGAGGAGGAGGAGGAGTAGGAGGAGGGAGGAGGAGGAGGAGGAGGAGGAGAGGAGGAGGAGAGGAGTGAGGAGGAGGAGGAGGAGAGGAGGAGACGAGGAGGAGGAGGAGGAGGAGGATGAGGAGGAGGAGGAGGAGGAGGAGGAAGGAGGAGGAGGACGAAGAAGAAGAAGAAGAAGAAGAAGAAGAAGAAGAAGACGAAGAAGAAGAAGAAGAAGAAGAAGAATAAGAAGAAGAAGAAGAAGAAGAAGAAGAAGAATAAGAAGAAGAAGAATAATAAGAAGAAGAAGAAGAAGAAGAATAAGAAAAAGAAGAAGAAGAAGAAGAGGAGGAGGAGGAGGAGGAGGAGGAGGAGGAGGAGGATTGGCAAAACCCTTTGGTGTAGCCTCTGGGGCGCTCAGGGGGCCATCTGGGTCCGTCCCCTGGTAATTTGCTTCTGGAGGATCTCTTGCGAACCCCGAGGATGCTCTCTTCGGGCGTTTCCGGGGTCTTTTGGGCCATGATGGGGGCACCCTGAGCTCGAAGACGGCCTACGATCGCGTCAGGACGGCCGTGTATCGCCTCTCCTCTCTCTGGAAGCTTCGGGATCGCCATGGGTGCCCCAGGGCGTCTGGGGAGGGGACTCTTGGGGGCCTGTTGGGGTCCTCTTGGGGCTTCCTGGTAGCCTATTCAAGCCATTTCGGGGGCTTTTGGTTGGCTTCCTGGGGCCTTCTGGGGGCGTCTTGGGGCCGAAGGCTTGAAATATCCGTTCGTGTACCTCCTCAGGGCCCCCTCTTGGCCCGAATCGGTGGCCCCAAATTGAAGAGAGTCCAGAACCCCTGGACCAGATGGAGGGTGGGAGGGGGAATAGGGAATAGGAGGGGGTAGAGGGAGATGGGCAGGGGGACGAGCGGCAGGAGGAGGGCTCAAGAAGCCAGCTGCTGCGAACAACGATTCGTTTCCCGCAACTTGCCTGGAAGTTTGGCGTACCAGCCCTTGTTGGAGACCGGGCGCCCTGCACTTGGAGGGCGGGTGTACCTACCGCGTGGAGCCAACCCAGCTTTGAGAGACTCTCCGAGCAACAACGTGTCGGGGCAGGCTGATCAGTCAATGCCGATTTGGGGGATCAGCCATCCAACCCACCACCCTGCTTGCGGTGAGCCTCCCCCATTCAACAATGGCTTGACAGCACGAGGGGGAAGGGACTTTGTGAAGGTGGGCACCCCCATAGTTCCTTGCAGGGTCTTGATGCTGATGGGCTTTGGCTCTCTATCCCAGTGGACTTGCGCTGTCTTGCTAGAACCTTCTTGATGCTATCCGTTCTCGGCTCCCCCACCTGTGCCCCGCACCCCCTGCCACGATTGGCCAGTCGGGGATGACGGTTGTCACTGATGATTCGCCTGTTGGGTGCGAACAGGCCTTGTGCAGTAGATTGGGCATTTCTGCCACGGACGATGGGTTTGAAGACTTGGCGGGGATCAGTCCATACCATGCCACACTTGACCCCATCTGTGTCGGGAGTGTTGCTGTGTGCTGTATGCTGCACGGCGACCCTGCGACGACCATGGGTGCTTCAAAGCATTCGCTTTTGCGGCCTTGCTTACACTGCTTCCCCTCCAGAGCTCACTCCTCTGACTGACCGAACTCGCTGCAATTAGATCTTTCTCATGTGAGGGACGCCGCTTCTGAATGTGTGCCGCACTTGAGGGTGCCGCCAGTGTACTTTGACTTTACTTCAAAGGGTTAGGTTGCAGGGGCACGCTGTCTCGCACAGGTGCTTGTCTCAGGACCGTAGTCTGGAACCGTGCAGAAGGAAGGCCACTCTCATCCCCACTGCTCCTTTTTCTCCGGCTGCCTCCTGCTGCTGCTCCTCCTTGCTGCCTCCTGCTGCGGTTCCTCTTTCGTCCTCTGCACGGGTCCGCAGCTATTTTGGCTCAAGCCGGTTGGATCAGGGAGAGCCCGCACTGGAGCCTGTTTTTCATTCCGGGCCGATGACGGCCGTCATCAGGAGAGGGGGGGGGAGGGGGCCGATGACGTCACGTTTCGCGCCGGCGGAGTCTGGGAATGCCTAGGAATGACCGAGGACAAGTAGCAGTAGCATGTAGGCTGCGATCTGCACCGCAGCGCCTGTGTACACCACAGTGCTCGCGTGCACCACAGCGCCTGTGTACATGTGTCGTAGCAGCGCCTCGGAGAGTGGAACCCCTTCCACGGCATCGACGTGGGAGATTGCGCCAAGCCCCACGGGGCGGTTTGGGACAATGACGGGGGCCTCGACCTCGTCGTGGGCAGCAGCGGCGGCGAGGTGCTTTTCTTCGAGCGGCTGGCGAGCGGGACCCTGGAGCAGCGCCTCGGGGAGGAGAGCCCCTTTCACGGCATCGGCTTTGGAGTGGGCGCCTCGTCCCGGGCGGTGGGTTGGGACAACGACGGGGACCTCGACCTCGTCGTGGGCAACGGCCACGGCGAGGTGCTTTTCTTCGGGCGGCTGGCGAGCGGGGCCCTGGAGCAGCGCCTCGGGGAGGAGAGCCCCTTCCACGGCGTCGGCGTGGGATCTGACGCCGCGCCCCAGTCTGTGGACTGGGGCAACCGCGAGGGCCTAGACCTCGCCGTGGGCGAAGAAACGGGCGCGGTGCTGCTCTTCGGTGCTGGGTGCGAACATGTCCGTGGTTGCTGGGGAGGTGAGCTGTGTTCCCTGCTGACGGGGGCATGCAGCTGTCTGGTCGAGTACAGCGGCGCAGACTGTTCCGTGCGCAGCATTTGCCATGCCTGCGCGCAGCATTGCAATAATTTCCTGCTCAGCGGCAACCGTCAGTGCTCGCCATGCGCGCCCGCGACAGAGAATTCGGTCGTTTGTAGAGGCCGCAGACCCTGCTTCGACGATGCTTGGGCGCGGGAGCAGGCGCTCGCGCGCTCGTCGATCGTGGCAAGCACCGAGGGCGGCACTGGGGCATGCTCGCGCAGCACGTGGTTCCCAGGAGTGGAGAGAGAGAGCGGGCGCGCGAACTGTGCGGGCGAGTGCCCAGCGGTCCGCGTCGTTCGGATGGATGGGCCCAGGCCCATTCGCGGTCTGTGGAGCCTGCCCTCCAGGGTCGTCCTTGCATGCCCAGCGGAGAGTGCCGCTGCCTCGCCCCGCTCGTACAGAAGTGCAGCTCCGACGGCGCCGTCTGCGGGCGCCCCGAGGTGCTGGGGCTGGCGAAGGAGAACGACGCGCGCAAGCGCGCTGCCCCCGAGGCGATCCTCCGCGACGCGGCCTGCGAGTGCACCGCCCCCCTCGATCTCTAGGAGAGCGGCGCCGTCTGCGGGTGCCTCGGGGGGCAGGTGGGGCGAAAAAACCAGCTGCGCGCCGTGTCCGAGTGGCGGCATTTGCACGGGGGGCATGGTGGCCTCGGCACTTCGCGGCTACTGGCTCCCAGCCGCGGACAGCGCGGAGCCCGCCGAAGTCCTCCGGGCCACGGTGCCACTGATGAGGGCGAGGCCGCATTCGACGATCAGGCTATTGTCTGCCTTGCGGGCAACGCGTGCGTGGAAGGGGTGCGAGAGCGAGGCGTGCGCTTTGCGCGGCGAAGGCCACGGGCGCCTCGGCCCCTTTTGCGTCGCGTGCGAGGTGGCGACGGTGTCCTCCAAGCTGGGGCTCGCGCGCTTATTCGCGGCGGCGCTTGCGATGCCCGTGCTGCCCCAGTTCTGCCCGCTATTCAAGAAACTCGCTGCAGGGGCGGATATGGGCGGATGCCGAGAGGCAGGATGCGCAGGCGGCCGCGCGCATTGCCGGAGAGGGGTGGAGTTCAAGAGACACAATATACAAGTGGGTGCGGCGCGTGTCCGGCATGCGCCTCGGAAGCCTGCGCATCTTGCGTGTGTTCCTCGAGGCCTGCGCTGGCTGGGCCACCGCGCTGCGCCTCGCGCGCCCCGGGATCTGGTAGTTTGACATTGCTCTGCGCAGTTTCGTGCGCCAGGTTGCATCGGTCTTCGGCTCCCCGCGCAATCCCCCCCCCCCCCCCCCCCCCCCCCCTCGCAGGGCGGCCGCGGCGCGCCCAGTCGTCCGAGGCC